GTCTCCCCTGGAATCCCTATTACATTTTGCCTAATATTTTAGCTATTTATATACACATCTTCTTTTTTTTTTTTTTTTTTTAGATGGAGTTTTGCTCTTGTTACCCAGGCTGGAGTGCAATGGCGCCATCTCGGCTCACCGCAACCTCCGCCTCCTGGGTTCAGGTAATTCTCCTGCTTCAGCCTCCTGAGTAGCTGGGATTACAGGCACGCGCCACTATGCCCAGCTAACTTTTTGTATTTTTAGTAGAGACGGGGTTTCACCATGTTGACCAGGATGGTCTCGATCTCTTGACCTCGTGATCCACCCGCCTTGGCCTCCCAAAGTGCTGGGATTAGAGGCTTGAGCCACCACGCCCAGCCTTATACACATCTTCTTTACCATTGCAAAGCACTGCTCAGAGGAAAGAGATTTTCATGATCTTTTGTTAGATTTGCTCCATGTGTGTTTTATTACTTCTCTTTGCATCATTAGATTGTAACCTCTGCATTTATTTGTAAACTACACATTGCCCTAGCTAGTTGTTCTGAACAAAGAACAAATGTTGCTGATCTGGTGATCTACAAGCCACAATAAGAGGAAGCTTACATGCTAAGAAGGAACAAGAACATACACTCCAAGCCAGGAGTGAGGTTTTGAAACATCCTTAGTACATGGCTACACACATATGTTTTCTAGTTACCTTATTTTCATGTCCACAGCTCAGTGAGTAACTCAGGATATAAACAGATAATTCCCAGGAGAGGAAATTAAAATGGCGAATAAACATGGGCAAAGATGTTCCATCTCAGTGATTATGAAGGGAAATTTAAATCAAACAAAATGAGATGCCGTCATTTGCCCATCACATCAGCAAAAGCAGTGTCGTTACATTTATGTCAGTAAAAATCAGAGATAACTGAAATATCTGTCAAAAGTGAGATGCTGAAATAAATTACATCCTAACTCTGTACACTATGTCGCCAACACAATGAAGTATATCCATTTGGGTATATACATGGAAAAATGATTATGACATATCATCCAATTTTTAAAAAGCAACTTGCAAAGCAGTGTGTTAAAAGTCCTGTATTTTGAGGGGAAAAACCCATATATTCTATGTTTCTATGTTCATATAAATACATATTCAAATTACTATATAATTGTAGGTGCAAAACCTAAAACTAAAGCAAAGACACAAACAAAAACAAAGGTCTGAAAAGAAAAACACTCAAGTGCTAAATGTGGTTACGGTGAGGGAAGTAAAACAGAAAGGATTTTTTTCTTTTTACTTTAAGTACTTCTTCTGTGCATTAAGTTTTTTTCAATACTGAAGTAATATTTTTGACTTTCTTTGAAATGAAAAATAAAACCAATAAAATTTGTGGTCATAAAAGTAGTTATAAAATGTTTATTCTAGAAAACAGTGATCCAACTTCAGGAACTGCATGCATGAACAGTCTAAGTATTCTTCAGAACTTAGACAAAATTATTCACACATATTCGTGTCAGTTACAGAAATCTGCAGCCCTATGTGGTAGCCTAGGAGAGTCTAACCTAAACTACGAAGCCATCACAATGAAGCATATCCATTTGTGTACATATCTACGGAAAAATGACTATGACATATTGTCAATTTTTTTTTAAAAAGGAACAACCCTTCTAGCCTAAAAGAATTGTTTCCATATTGTAGATGAGGCAAGAAAGAAACCAAAAGAAAACAAAACATTTAACACTTTATGTAAATTGACAACCCAGGGACAGGGCCCTCAGAAACAATTTACCTGATTATTGTTTTATGTTAGGGACCAGAAATTCAAAATGTAAGTACCAGAAAAAAAGAAGTCAGCCAGAAATAAAACAATAAGGACCAGAAGGACTGTACAGAGTTCAAATACTGCCTAACGGGAGCAGCCATTTCATTACTCCTCCTGAGAGGATGAGTCTGGTATTACCAGATCATTCAATGTTTCAAGAGAAACCAGGAATTAGGATTTTTTTTTTATTGAGACAGCATCTCTTTCACCCAGGTTGGAGTACAGTGGCGTGATCTCAGCTCACTGCAACCTCTGCTGCCTGGGTTCAGATGATTTTCCTGCCTCAGCCTCCCGAGCAGCTAGGATTGCAGGTGCAAGCCACTGTGCCCAGCTAATTTTTGTAGCTTTAGTAGAGACGGGGTTTCACCATCTTGGCCAGGCTGGTTTTGAACTCCTGACCTCATGATCCACCCATCTCGACCTCCCAAAGTGCTTGGATTACAGGCGTGAGCCACCGCACCCAGCCAGGAATTAGAATTTTTGTATCAATACTCTCAGGTTTTAAATTTTTGCAACCAATATTTTAAAATCCTAAATACCGTGTTGATAAACACTGTAAAAGCCAAACAAAACTTATCTCCCAACTAGATTTCACCTGCAGCCTCCTGTTTGCCATTTTGGGGTTTTCCCATCCTTGCAGCTAGAATTAGTGGACAAATTCTAACACAACAGTCCCCAACCTTTTTGGCACCAGGAACCACATTTGTGGAAGACAATTTTTCCATGGTGGTGGGAGATGGTTTCTGAATGAAACTGTTCACCTCAAATCAGGCATTAGATTCTCATAAGGAGCACACAACCTAGATCCCTTGTATGTGCAGTTCACAATAGGGTTTGCGCTTCTATGAGAATCCAATGCTGCAGCTGATCTGACAGGAGTGGGAGCTCAGGCGGTGACGGCTTGCCGCTGCCCCCTCTGGCTGTGCTGCCTGGTTCCTGACAGGCCCAGAACGAGTGATGGTCTGCAGCCCAGGGATTGCAGACCCCTATTTTAACACATCCTTCAAGACTCGGATCAATTCCCTCTTCTTACACTAGCCCTTTGCCTCTGGTATTACAGAATATTAGAATTCTAAAGTGAGCGCATCACCTGAGCTCAAGCGTTCAAGAGCAGCCTGGGCAACAAGACCAGTCTAAACCCCATGTCTATCAATAATAATTATATATATACACATACACATAGAGTTCAAGGTATTTCAGAAATATCTTGTCAAATTTCTCATTTTTTATTGTAATAAAATATAACATAAAATTTTCCATATTAACCAATTTTTTTTTTTTTGAGACAGAGTTTCGCTCTTGTTACCCAGGCTGGAGTGCAATGGCGCGATCTCGGCTCACCGCAACCTCCACCTCCTGGGTTCAGGCAATTCTCCTGCCTCAGCCAACTGAGTAGCTGGGATTACAGGCATGCGCCACCATACCCAGCTAATTTTTTGTATTTTTAGTAGAGACGGGGTTTCACCATGTTGACCAGGATGGTCTCGATCTCTTGACCTCGTGATCCACCCGCCTCGGCCTCCCAAAGTGCTGGGATTACAGGCTTGAGCCATCGCGCCTGGCCTATATTAACCAATTTTAAGTCCACAACTTAGTGGCATTAATTACAGACACAATGTTGTGCAACCACCACCTCTAGCTATTTCCGAAAATTTTTCATCGCCCCAAACAGAAGCTCTGTACCCCATTAAGCAATAACTTTAATTATTGCCTTCCCTAGCCCCAGACAATCTCTAATCTACTTTCTGTTTCCATGACTTTGCTTATTCTAGGCACCGCACATACATGGAATGATTCAATATATCTCCTTTTGTGTCTGGCTTATTTCACTTAGCATAATGTTTTCAAGGTTCATCTATCCTGTAGCATGTATCAGAACATCATTTTTCATGGCTCATTAATATTCCATTAAATGTGATTACCACATTTTCTTTACCCATTCTTCTTTTGATGGACAACTGAGTTGTTTTTACCTTTTGGATATCGTAGGTAACCATTAAAACATTCGTGTACAAGTATCTGTTTGAATTCCTGCTTTTGATTCTACACCTAGGAATAGAATTACTGGGTAGTATATACTGCGTATACTGGATATCACTGGGTAAAGTATAGTGGATAATTCTATATTTAACTTTTTGTTTGAGGAACCACCCAACTGTTTTCCATAATGACTGTACCATTTTACATTCCCCCCATGAATGCATGTAAAATGCTCATTTTTAAGATGAAGAACCCAAGGGCAACACCAGTGAGACAGCTTGACCACAGACACAGGGAGTCAGCTGCACTGCACAGCTGGACATCAAGAAGCAGGTATCTTGACTCTCAGTGTAGACATACCCGCTTTCCAAGGTTAAATCCACTAAGATTTAAAACACATGGTAAGGCAAATGGCTGGAATGTCTACACAAAGACTGAGTCATTACAAATAGGTCTCTTGATATATTTAGAAGAAAGAATCTGAGTAAGTTCTAGACTCTTTTCTCCATCATAAAATGTGGTTTTCTTTATCCTTTTCTTCCTCAGGCGTAGGTTCTAAAAGATTAGATCATATTTTTTAGTCTGGTACCTAATTGTAGGATAGTCAGAAAATGTTTATCATTATTAGAACTACAATTCTAAAATAATAGCTTAAAAAATTCCTTGAAATGCAATATGTATTTATTTCAGAAAAACTGAAAAACTCGGAAAAGTAGAAAGAAAAAAAAAGATCACCCAGAGAACAGTCAACCGGAAAAATGACTATTAATTTTTACCTTTTTTTCAAGACATTTTTCTTCTAGGAATGGTGTTTTTGTTTGCTATGTGTTATTGGAATCATAAAATCTTAAAGCTTGAAACAATTATTATAATTGTGGGGTGAAATTTAAAAATCACGTAAGGAAAAATAGATATTAAGTTCTACATTTAGTTAGTACCGCTTCCTACCAACTTACAGCCCTCATAGTCTGGTGACAGTTTTGGGTGGAGTACATGGATGTATTTTTAGTAGAGACGGCATTTCACTATGTTGACCAAGGTGGTCTCGATCTCTTGACCTCGTGATCCACCTGCCTCGGCCTCCCAAAGTGCTGGGATTACAGGCTTGAGCCACCGCGCCCGGCCCAATTTTTGGATTTTCTATTCTTACCCTTTCCTTTGACTTCTATTCCTTCTCCCTCCCTGCCAGGATATCACAGCCCTTGGCATCATCTTGGTACTCACAGTTGTTTCTTCCCTCAGCCCTTTCCTCCTCGGTCACTGATTCTGCTCCATGACCAGTTGGAAGTGGAGCTGGCAAGCTCAGCCTCTCAGCAGGAGACACAGGAGTCAGGGCTGAAGGGAGGAGAGAGGAGAAGATCACAAATGCTTATCCTGTTATATCCTTTCTTTTATTCTCATTACACAGTGAAATTTAATACAATACTTATTGGGGGTGGGCTACGTGAAAGGTCTCTGGAAAAAAATACCTCGGGAAGGGGAAGGGTAAAATAATGAAATTTTCTTTGAGGAGGGAGGACACTGCCTACCCACCCTCCCTTCTTTAGGTGTCACCTTGACAACATAATAGTTCTGACCTTTTGATTTTACATGCAAGGTCATGGGCCTTCTGACCTTTGAAACTGTCAACTCTTATCTCTGGGATTTTGCTGAGGTCCCTCATAGATATAATGATGGGTGTAATGAGACATCACACAGTATTCCCTTTTTTCTCTAACAGAAATAAGAGCTTTTAATTGTTCTTTTACTTTTCTGTATAAATTTGTGCAAAAACCTCCAACTTTATAGTTGCTTTTCTGTTTTCTTACATGCATGTTATCTCTGATAATGCTTATCCAATATTAAAATTATGTTCTATCTTCTACATTGGGAAAGAGGGTTCTTTTGTTAGAAGGACTAGTTTATTTCTCTAACACTATGATGACCCTCCAAAAATCATTTTACCTAGTTAGCTAGAGTTCTCATTTCCTGTCTCTCCTCAGTCCAAGTGTTATAGTAGGTAGCTAGTCAGACATGAGCAGGGCAGGAGAGGACCCCTGCCCCCCTAACCAGGAATGTTAGGCGTATCAGGTGATGGCTGAGCAGTTGTTAAAATGGTCTCTCTAAGATAGTAATTGGTTGCAGCCAGTGCCAGGGAAAGGCAGTCACCCAACAGACACAAAACCTGAAACCGGTAATCTTCCTGATAAGATCTCAAGAATTGGGTGAGAGGGATCAAGTATGCACACTCAGAGGCACAATGACAGAGTTTACCTGGTAACTGACCTTCCTCTAGGAAGGCTAGACTAGTAAGGGGAAAAAGCCTCAAGTGAGCATGTGTACAGTTCCAGTAAACACAGTATATGTGTGGCCCATCCCAAATGCCATAGGCCACTGCATAGGCAGACAACACACCCCCCCCACCTGCAGGGGAAGAATAAAGGCAAAGGTGATGCAGACCCCAGAAGAATGTCAACATGTAAAACTCCAAGTCAACGGTCAAACAGTACATTTGATCTTTCAAGTTGCCTGCTTGCCCCTCTTCCAAGTATACTTTCTCTCATTCCTGCCTTAAAACTTTTTGATAAAATTTCACTCCTGCTCCCAAACTTGCCTCATTCTCTCACTCTGTTTTATGCCCCTTTATCAGATTTTCTTCTGAGGAGGCAAGAGTTGAGGTTGCTGCAGACCCATATGGATTCACCACTGCCAACACAAGTAATACTCCAAATGCAGCATTCCTGGGTGAGAGTGAACTGAGGGAGCACCCAGTAGTGCTAACTTCCCTCTGGATCCATGTAGATACCAATAGATGATCACTGAAATGCTGTATTCAATTTGGCTAACTCTGTATACATTCCTGAGGGAGGCTGCTATGAGAGATTCAGAAACGACTGAAAGACAGTAGGACAGAATTCAAAAAAGGTGTGTGAGTATTCCAAGACATGGGATGTGAAACTACCACTCACCCAGTTGCTCAAGTCACAAATTAAAGAGCTTAATTTCTCTTTTCCGCAGCCATCATATCCAGTTGACGCTACTCTCAATCCACATCCTAAATCCACTCACTTCTTCCATTTTCACCACTTCTACCCTAGTTCAAGCCCCCAGCAATAGCCTTGTAACTGGTCTGCTTCTACTTCGGTTCCTCTATGGCAGCTGATGTGATTTCTTTTTTTTTTTTTTTTTTTGAGACAAAGTCTCGCTCTGTCTCCCAGGCTGGAGTGCAGTGACGCAATCTTGGCTTACTGCAACCTCTGCCTCCCAGGCTCAAGCAATTATCTGCCTCAGCCTCCTGAGTAGCTGAGACTACAGGCACCTGCCACCATGGCCAGCTAATTTTGTACTTTTAGTAGAGACGGGGGTTCACCATGTTGGCCAGGCTAGTCTTGAATTCCTGACCTTTCGATATACCTGCCTCGGCCTCCTAAAGTGACGCCCAGGTGTCAGCCACTGCACCCAGCCCCTGGTGTGATGTTTTAAATATATATATATATAAGGCCGGGCGCGGTGGCTCAAGCCTGTAATCCCAGCACTTTGGGAGGCCAAGGCGGGTGAATCACGAGGTCAAGAGATCAAGACCATCCTGGTCAACATGGTGAAACCCGTCTCTACTAAAAATACAAAAAATTAGCTGGACATGGTGGTGTGCGCCCGTAGTCCCAGCTACTCAGGAGGCTGAGGCAGGAGAATTGCCTGAACCCAGGAGGCGGAGGTTGCAGTGAGCCGAGATCATGCCATTGCACTCCAGCCTGGGTAACAAGAGTGAAACTCCATCTCAAAAAATAATAAAATTAAAAAAAAAATAAATAAATATATATATATATATATATATATAATCCCAGCACTTTGGGAGGCCAAGGCAGGTGGATCATGAGGTCAAGAGATCGAGACCATCCTGGTCAACAAGGTGAAACCCCATCTCTACTAAAAATGAAAAAATTAGCTGGGCACGGTGGTGCGTGCCTGTTGTCCAGCTACTTGGGAAGCTGAGGCAGGAGAATTGCTTGAACCCAGAAGGTGGAGGTTGCAGTGACCGAGATCGTGCCATTGCACTCCAGCCTGGGTAACAAGAGCGAAACTCCATCTCAAAAAAAAAAAAAAAAAAAAAAAAAAAAATATATATATATATATATATAAAGCATAAGGTGACTTGCCAACTCTCAAATGATTTCCCATCACATTTTGTTGTGTTGTTCTTGTTCCTTCTGTACATTATATTTAAAATAAAATCTAAATTCCTCATCTGAAAAGGCCCAGATCTCCCCTTGTACCTCTCTGTTCTTGTTCACTGAGCTTCGGGCTCACTGGCTTTCTTTCTGTTTCCCCAACACACCATGCTGGTTGAAACGTATTTTCTTCCTGGTTTTCACATGGCTCCTTCTTTTTTTTTCTTTTTTTTTTTGAGACAGAGTTTCACTCTTGTTACCCAGGCTGGAGTGCGATGGCGTGATCTCGGCTCACCGCAACCTCCGCCTCCTGGGTTCAGGCAATTCTCCTGCCTCAGCCTCCTGAGTAGCTGGGATTACAGGCACACACCGCCATGTCCAGCTAATTTTTTGTATTTTTAGTAGAGACCGGGTTTCCCCATGTTGACCAGGATGGTTTCGATCTCTTGACCTCGTGATCCACCCGCCTCGGCCTCCCAAAGTGCTGAGATTACAGGCTTGAGCCACTATGCCTGGCAAACTTTCATCTTTTTTTAACCTTCTCTTTAACATAGCAATGTTACCTTTTGTCAATTTCTCTGTCGTGACTGCAATTAAACTTTTGCTATGGAAAGTGACTATGTTCAGAGGCAGCAAAGAGGAATGGCCTGGAGACTTGCAACTCACTCCATATGTGGACTTAAAGACATAAGAACACTAAAGGATGGGGGCAGAAAGCAGTGACTTTCAACAGAGAAATAAAATAGGCTGAGTTCCTATAGCCTCCTACAGAAAAGAAACAAAAAGTCAAAGTAGGAGCTGATAAATAACCTGGGACTTAACACTGGAAAGGCCCATGAGGCTTCCCCACATGCCCCTTACAAACCTCTGAACTCACATCTCTCCTCTGCCTACTGTCCTCACAGCACAACATAATCCTGCCTAGAACTGACTGACAACTCACATAACCACTTCTCATCAGTTCCCCCACACCCTTTCTGAGAAATTATCTTTAAAAATGTCAGTCCACACAGATTTTTTTCTGATCTCATTTTAAAAATCCAACTGCACTGGATTTCACTGTTCTCTGCTTATTTTTTTGTTTGTTTGCTTACTTTTTGAGATAGGCTGTCATCCTCACTCAGGCTGGATTGCAGCGGTGAGATACAGCTCACTGCAGCCTCAACCTCCCAGGCTCAAGTGATCCTCCTGCCCCAGCATTCTGAGTAGCTGGGACCACAGGCACATGCCACCATGCCGAGTTAATTTTTTTAATTTTTGCAGAGAAGAGATCTCACTATGTTGCCCAGGCTGGTCTTAAACTCCTAAGCTCAAGCAGCCCTCTTGACTCAGAATCCCAAAGTGCTGGGATTATAGGCGTTAGCCACCATGCCTGGCCTTTTTGGTTCATCTTGGCTTTTACTTGCTTTATTTTCACTTTTGCTCATCCGAATCTAAGAATCCTGTAAGTGTTGAACACAAAATAATAAATTTCTTTTGATTAATTATATAGATTCATACTGTCTGCAGTTTGTACTGTAAAGGAAGAAACAAGAAGGAAAAACCTAACAACGAGGGAAGGAGAAGATGCAAGAAAGCAGGGCTCTAGAATACAAGGGAAAGGAAGCAGAGGCACAGAAACGGGGACAATACCCCGCAAATCAGCTTTCATTGTGAGAACTTAATCACAGTTTATAACATGTTGTCAATCTGCTAAAATGGAAGTTGACAGGAAATTGGCAGAAATGGAAATGGACACAGGCCAATTTGCTCTCTTTTGTTAAATCTCTCCAGTGCCTTGCCTTATTTGCAACCACTTCAGTCTCAACGCCAGGCAGATTCTGATTCTTTCGTTATGCAAATATTGATTTATTAACAGACTAATTCATACATAGCTAGAAGATAATTATCCGTTCACATCAAGCCAGATGAACCGTCCTCTGTTACCCGTTTCTTTTAAAAAATGAATCAAAATTTACCGTGGGATATAAGTAAATCTCACTGAGAAAACATGCAATCTCTATATATTTTTACAACGATAACAGCAGCTTTTACCATTCATATTAGAAACCAACTTACATTTTTCTCTTATCAACATTTTAAATTGTATTGTTCTATTTTGGGGGGCAGGGGTATAATTTTTTTCAATTGTGGTAAAATATATATAACATTAAATGTATCATCTTAGCCATTTTTACATGTACAGCTCGGTAGTATGATGTATAGTCAAACTGTGTGTAATCATCACCCCCATCCATCTTCATAACTCTTTTCATCTTGCAAATTAAAACTCTCTACTCATTAAACAAAACTCCCCATTCTTCTCTTCCCAGCCTTTGGTAACCACCATTGTATAACACTTTCTGTTTCTATGGGTAGAAGAAACCAACTAACTTTCTTTTTTTTGAGACGAAGTTTCGCTTGTTACCCAGGCTGGAGTGCAATGGTGCGATCTCGGCTCACCGCAACCTCCGCCTCCTGGGTTCAGGCAATTCTCCTGCCTCAGCCTCCTGAGTAGCTGGGATTACAGGCACGCGCCACCATGCCCAGCTAATTTTTTGTATTTTTAGTAGAGACGGGGTTTCATCATGTTGACCAGGATGGTCTTGATCTCTTGACCTCGTGATCCACCCTCCTCAGCCTCCCAAAGTTCTTGGATTACAGGGGTGAGCCACCGCACCCAGCCAGAAACCAACTAACTTTCAAAGGACTCATTGGTGTCTTTTTACAAAGCAGATAGACTTGTGTTATTCTCTATTGTTTCCTAGCACCTAGCATAGTGTCTGATACATGTCATGTGTTCAATAAATGTTTGAATATTGACCAAGTGAGTAAATGATAGTTCCAACTTCTGGTCTACCCTCAGGTGACCCTAAGTTAAAGACTCAGACATACAGGAAATACAGGTTGGATGCAAAGAGAACATTATTGATGGGGAAGGACACCAGCATTCTGCTGCTGTTTATCTCCACCCCAAATTCATTCCACAAATATAAACTGAATGCTTCTATATGATGAAAGTGCATTAAAGCCTCAGATGCAAAGATGAACACATGGACTGTGCCTCCAATATGTGCTTTCCCATGATCACTTCATAGCATTTATCACATTCTAGTGTAATCATCTGTGTATCTGCCCTGCTGCTATACTGTAAGCCGGGCCAGGACATTGTCTATCACTGAGTAAGCTCAATAAATATTTGGCAAATCATCTAATGGAGACTGCAGCCCACTGTGGGGAAAAACATGCACAATCATACAAAGTCAGGATCCTTAGCTGTATGAAAGAAAAGCTGCTGACTCTTGCCAACATAGAAGAGAATGATATTGAAGATACTGGGTAGCTCTCAGGTGTGTCGGAAGGTGTAGAGATTTAGGACTGAGGCCAAGCCTCCAGGAATAATGCACAAAAGCACTGCAGAACTAGCCCAGTGAGAAAACTACCACCATTGCAGCTCTCCATCAATACCACTATTACATTAGAAACTCAGCGTTACAATCACTGAGGAACTAATTTCACTGCTAGTGCTGCCAACAAAGCCAGCGCCTGGCTATTCATACCAGCAAGTCAAGGAGTTCCATAACAAGCCACTTTCCTCTGATTACTCATATCCGAATTTAAGTTTGATATGGATGAACCTGACTGGCAAAGTCTAGGTCATATTCTTGAGCCCAACTATAATGAAGGCTGGGAATCTGAGTTCTAAATAAAAGAAAGCAGGCTGGGCGTGATGGTTCATGCCTGTAATCCCAGCACATTGGGAGGCTGGGGCAGGTGGATCACATCAGGTCAGGAGTTTGATTGAAAACAGCCTGGCCAACATGGGGAAACCCCGTCTCTACTAAAAATAAAAAATTAGCCAGGCACGGTGGCACATGCCTGTGGTCCCAATTACTTAGGAGGCTCAGGCACAAGAATCCTGTGGACCTGGGAGGCGGAGGTTGCAGTGAGCTGAGATTGTCCCACCACGCTCCATTCTGGTGACAGAGCAAAACTTTGTCTCAAAAGAAAAAAAAAAATCAAGTGACTTGTATGACAAAAATGCAGCAGCAATATGCAACAGGCATTAGGCCAAAAATATACATTCAGTTTTTTATTTTCGTGGAACTTATATTCTTGTAGGATAGACAAAAACACATAAATGAACATAATGATGGATAGCACTAGATGCCACAAAGACAAGCAGAGGTGTAAACTAGGGAATTTGAGAAGGGTTTTTCTCAGATGAGCATAGTCGTGAAGGATGTGAGGAAGCAGAAAGTACAGAGGCTCTGGGAGGGGAACTGACTTGACATTTCCAAATCCTGCAAGAAGGCTGCAGCTGAGTAGGTGAAGAAGAGGGTAGAAAATGAGGTGGAAAGGGCAGCCATGGACCATGTCACATAGGCCTTACAGGCCATGGTTTTGGACTCTGTAAGGTGACAAAGGAAGAGCATAATCTGATATTTTAAAAGAATCACACTGGCTGATATGTGGGGAATATTTTATAGGGAACAAGGGTAAAGACCATCTGATCAAAGTATGAGCAGAAGGATCCAAGCACTAAAATCTGCCCAGATGGCTGCGGAGATGAGATATGAAGGGAATCTTGCGACAGGAGTGGAAACTGCCCAAGAGCAGAGGTTAGAGGGCATCTTAGGCAAAGGGAAGAACAGGAGCAAGAACACAGGGGCATGGGAAGGCCCCAGCATATTTGGAAAACTTTGAGTGGTCTGGTCAGGTTACAGAGAGGGATCCAGACAAGAGGCTGGAAAGGAGGAGAGACCTAAATAGCAAAGGGCTGCCCATGCTGTTCTTTTAACTTTTCACCTCACCAAAGTAAAATGTTGGTACAGTGATAGGGGCTGACCACGAGGCACGCCTGGGGCTATAACTTCCCCTGGGAGGATAGTCCTCCCAATAGAGTTTCTAAGAGAGCAGGAAGGCCACAGTTCCTTGCTCTTTCCCCTCTCCTCAGACTAGAAAAAACATGGGCAATGCACAGTACTGAGCTGTTAGTATCAAGGCAAAGCTGGGCACACCCACGCACTGTGGTGCAGCAGATAGCAGAGATCTGAAGGGATCTCCATCAGGTCAGTTCCCAGGAAAAACTGTGCAAGTAAATTTTCCACGCACAGTCCATTTCTGCTGCTATAACACTATTTGTTATGGAATACTTTATAAACAATAGAAAACTCTTCGTCCCAGTTCTGGAGGCTGGGATGTCCGGAGATCAAGACATCAACAGATTTGGCGTCTGGTGAGGGTCTTGTGCTTCACAGATGGCTTCTTCCTGCCGTGCCCTCACAGGGCAGAGTGTGAAACAAGTTCCCTCAGGCCTCCTTTATAAGGGCACTAATCCCATGCATTAGCAACCAAATCACCGCCCAAAAGCCCCCTATCTTTTTTTTTTCCTTGAGACAAGTCTCACTCTGTCTCCCAGGCTGGAGTGCAGTGAAGTGGTCTTGGCTCACTGCAACCTCCACCTCCCAAGTTCAAGCAATTCTTGTGCCTCAGCCTCGTGAGTAGCTGGGATTACAGGTATGTGCCACCATCCCCATCTAATTTTTTGTAGTTTTAGTAGAGACCCGATTTCACCATGTTGGTCAGGCTGGTCTTGAACTCTGACCTCAAACGATCCACCCTTCTCAGCCTCGCAAAGTGCTAGGATTACAGGCATGCGTCAGCACACCCGGCGAAGCCCCACATCTTAGTATCATCACCTTGAGGATTAGGCTTCAACACATGAATGTGGTGGGGATATATACATCCAGACCTCTTATTCCACCCCAGATTCCCAGGCTATAAGGACACTGTGCCTTAAAGGCAGTAGTAGCTGTGGGTTGGTGAAGAGAATGGAGGAGGGCATTCCAGAAGGAAAACACAAGGTATGCAAATGCCAGGAACCAGAAAGCACCAAGGCTGGAAAGTCAGGTTGAGCCTAGATTGTGAAATGCTTGGATAATGGGGTAGTCACCAGAACGGTTTGTTCCTAAACCAGATTCGCCAGTTAAGTAACCAAAACCGAAATGTGCAGTGCTTGTTTTTTGTCCGTAATAGATGCTGGGAAGCATTTGCAGATTGGCTGATAGAATCCACAGACGCAAGTCTCTGTAAATTCAGGGCAGATTGTCCCAGTTAATCACTATGACCAGTCAGACCTCTGTAATGATGGGTTTGCCTGACACGAGAAAGTCCTACCTCTCATAACAGTTTTGAGAACTTAACTGCAAGGAGGCCTTTTTGTGATGAAACCCGGCTCAGGTGCCAAGGATCTGCAACATTAAGACCTTCGCAGGTGGGGATTCACTGTGATTTTAGGCACCCTGGATCCTTCTGTGTACCTCCGCTGAGGGTTCCCACCCAAGACAGCACTCAGCCTTTGTTACTCGCCTGCATCAGCCACAGGTCGCTACCTGTCACTTCAGAGTTCTGGGCACAAGCAAAATGCAGACCTTACAAGCACTGCAAGTCAAGACAAGTGAGCAGCATTGGCTCCAAGGGTTTAAGAGGAACTCGGCCAAAAATTGTTCAAAACTGGCCATTTCATCCGAACTGGGACAGCGGGGCCCAAGGAGGGAAGGGGCTGATGAGATTAATGCAGCCCCCGCTCTCCGCGGCTCTACTGTATTTCGGTGCGAGTTGCTACCAACTCCAGGGCGCGCCCCCACCCGCCCACTACACTAATCTCTTGTGTTATCCGGAGGTAACAAGGAACCCGTGGAGAAGACGGGGTACCACTGGGATAAGGAGAGCGTGAGTGTTTTACGTTTGAATTTAAGCAACAAATCTGTCGAGCTGTGTTTCTCCACTTCCCCCTTAGGCTGGGTCACGCGAGGGGGACGCTCCGACCGCCCGGGACTCCTTCAGAGTGAACCGCATCCCCTCAAGTTCCTCTCCAGGACCTGCCCCTCCGGCCGCCCCCGCCCTGCAGCTCCACCCTGTCACTCGGAGCCCTACGCACCCCTGTAACCTCCCTGCCGGCAAAACTACTCTTCAAAGACTTCCTTCCGGGCACCGCGAAGCGCGCGTGCTCAGCATTCGGAGAGGCAGCGGCGCTCGCCTTCATCCAGGACGACAAAACTGCCGTTTCTGAAGAGAAAGGAAGCGGCTTCTGGGGTTCCCAGGCGCGCCTGCGAGGGAGGCCGGGAGCCGCGTCGCCACGCCCAGAACCCCGAGCCCGCCCCCGCGCCACCCCGCCCGGCCTTGCCGCTCCGGCTGCGCGCGCGACGCCCCCTCCAGGCCCAGCTCCTGCGCCCTACTTGGTCGTTCGGGGGGCAAGCGGCGGGAGCGGAGACGTGCGCCGCCTGAGGGGACGCGGAGCCGGCGCCGACTGCGCAGAGGACCCGCTCTCGCTGCTGCCTCCTCGGCTGGGAACCCACGAGGCCGCCGCATCCTGCCCTTGGAACAATGGGACTCGGCGCGCGAGGTGCCTGGGCCGCGCTGCTCCTGGGGACGCTGCAGGTGCTGGCGCTGCTGGGGGCCGCCCTGGGTAAGGAGCAGCGGGGGTGGCTCGCCCCGGTCGTGGGAGGCGGCGCGCTGCCGGGGCTCGGGCTCCCACGTTGGGCTCCGGTACAGAAAGTTTGTGTGTCTGTGGCCGAACGCACGGAGGGGACCCGGAGGGGACTGGGCGGGCCGGGGAGGAACTGAGGCTTGGGCCGGTGTCCCGCTGGCTCCCGGCCGCCTGCGGAGGACATTCCCGGCGCTTTCCCTCTCGCTTTCTGGAAGCGGCGTCGCAGGCCGGGACGGTCGCGAAGAACCTGTTGAGTGACGAAGTTGCTTTTTACAGCCTCTCCCAGAAGTTCATGTTTACTGGGCTTAGAGTTGATCCGAGGCTTCCGTTTGTAAACAGGATCAGCCGGGTTGAGAAACATGTCTACCGAGGGCGGCGGAAACGTCTCCCGGTTAGCTGGGGAGCCTTCCGAGCGTCCCCCCGGCATTTTAACGCCTCAGATTGTGCAGTGTTGTCTGGATGACTTACGGTCTTAAGGTCCCCCTGACGCTCCAAGTTAGACCTCGGGGCTCTTGAAGCGAGTTGGGAGCTTTGGGGGAGCGCGACCCGCGCTCGCGGCAGTTGACGCGGCCGCCCCCTTGGTGGGGCGCTTTCCGCGCCTCGTGTGCAATAAACACCCGGCCGCGCCGCGCGTTAAGGGCACAGCTGCACGGGCGCAGGGGGCCCACCACGTCGCCAGTAAGGTCGTCACACGATGATGTTGACGTTGCTCTTCTGTGTCGGGCAGAATTTGTGTCCTTTTAGGCCGTTGGCCCTTTGGAGACTTTAAAAAGCCCTTTTTGGATGAAACCAGGAAGCTGGGATTTGCTGCGTAAATTCTGTTTTCCTTGGGCAGCTGTTAAGTCAGGTCCCTAGGGTAGTGGGCAGTAAACTAGGAAAAGTTAACTTGAGGTGACCTACGGTTTTCATGGTTTTAAATTCTGTCCATCCACTGTGTGTTTAGCCTTAGGTTCGTTTTATTCAGCAAGAGAAAAAGAAGGCAGTTTGTAAATCCAGAAGGTTCAGGCACGTCACTTGCTTTTACTGGAATAATCTGGGTGAATGAAATAATTTTTGTTTTGTTGAATTTTTTTTTGTTTGCTTAATTGTGCATGTGACAAACTGGCTTCCCAGACCTAATTTTGAGATCATTTCAGAAAATGACAAAGTCATGTCCATCGAGGATCTTGGTGCTAATTTTTTTTTTTTTTGAGACGGAGTTTCGCTCTTGTTACCCAGGCTGGAGTGCAATGGCGCGATCTCGGCTCACCGCAACCTCCGCCTCCTGGGTTCAGGCAATTCTCCTGCCTCAGCCTCCTGAGCAGCTGGGATTACAGGCACGCGCCACCATGCCCAGCTAATTTTTTGTATTTTTAGTAGAGACGGGGTTTCACCATGTTGACCAGGATGGTCTCGATCTCTTGACCTCGTGATCCACCCGCCTCGGCCTCCCAAAGTGCTGGGATTACAGGCTTGAGCCACCGCGCCCGGCCTCTTGGTGCTAATTTTAGACCACTTATTTCATGAGGCGAGGTCTTCATTTTTTAAAATTTGTTGCTATGTTTGTGAAAATAAACCTTACTGTTTCTCCAATGATCAGAGAAACTGTGAGTGACCATTCTTTTTTCCTTTGACCTCATAACACAGATTTTCTTTTGCCCTATTTTACCACTCACTGTTCTATTTATTACTTAATGTCTTACTAGAGGTTAGTACCATTTGGAAAACTTAAAATGCTCTACAGTAGGAGAGCCCTGAGTTCATGAACTAGTATAACCAACCTGAGGTGGAATCTGTTTTTACAGAATAATGTCACCTTGCAACTAGACTAAAAGAAGGTACGACAGAGTATTTCTCAAAAAAGCAAGGAACTGTTACCCTAGTCTTCAGATACAGCGTAATATGCATAAAATGTCATTATGAAGTGTAGTGATTTTTAACATACTAAAACTCATGGCTGATTTTTACTGGGTATATTTTCTGTGCACCCCACGCAATGCTAATTTACTTCCCTAAATCATCCCATTGGATCTTCACAGTTACTATCCCCATTTTATAGATAAGTAAGCTAATTTATGGAAAGTGAAACAATTAATACCTGTTTGGTTTCGAATCAGAATCCAAATTTTCAGTTAACCATTTCACCACTAAGCCACATTAGGTGATGATGGAGACGGAGTTTCGCTCTTGTTGCCCAGGCTGGAGTGCAATGGCGCGATCTCGGCTCACCGCAACCTCCACCTCCGGGGTTCAGGCAATTCTCCTGCCTCAGCCTCCCGAGAAGCTGGGATTACAGGCACGTGCCACCATGCCCAGCTAATTTTTTTTGAGTAGAGACGGGGTTTCACCTTATTGACCAGGATGGTCTCGATCTGTTGACCTCGTGATCCACCCGCCTCGGCCTCCCAAAGTGCTGGGATTTCACGCTTGAGCCACCGCGCCCGGCCGATAATGCTTTTTATTCCACAGTACTATGATTGCCTAGAATATTGTGGGAGAAGATAAAAGCATTATTGAAATTCTACTTTTAAAATACCCTTCACAGTCTGCTGCATAGCTTTATAAATACCATCAGTTGAGGGAGGAGGGAGACTATGAACAAGTTTGCAAATCAGCAAACAGGATTTATTGTAGTCCAATGAACGATGTTAACAGGATGGGAGGGGAGGCTATTAGTCATTACTCTTAGTGGCAAGTGACAGAAACCCACTTTGAACAACCTTAGTGGAAAGAAGGAACCTTTTGACTCTTGTAACTGAAAAGTGCAAGGATTGAGGTGGCTTAAAAATTGCTGTATTCAAGGTTTCAAATAAGTTGCCAAGAAATTAAGAAATCCTCGCATAAGAGTGACAATAGCAGGGTCACAAAAACAGGCTTTTGTGTTAGTGCAGGCAAAAGATGATGTTGAGTGGCAATGGAGATAAAAGGGTGGATACTAGATCTGTTGGGGTGGGTGGGACTGATCACTTGCTGATGGATTGGAGGGTGGGATGAGGAAGAGAAAAGAATCAAAGGATGACCTCTTCATTTTGGGATTGAGCAGCTGGTAAGGCAACAATTGGGAGGGTTGGGGGGAGGAGCAGGTTTATAGTAGAAAATCAGTAGTTACATTTTGGCACTCATATCTGCAGGCTTAGGAATCAAACAGCCTGTTCCAATTTCAGACTCTGCCACTTTCTATCTGGGTGGCCTTCTCTGGGCCTCAGTTTTTGTCTGCAAAACAATACTCCTAAGAATTGTTGGGAGGGTTAGATAGCTAATGCGCATAACCCTGGCTTGTGATAAGCACCTGATGATGTTGGCAATTATTTGATGCCTGCTGCTAAATACATCTATGTAGTCTATTGACCTTGATCTTTTTTCAAGTTAATCTTACACTGTATCCTTTTGTGATAAACAGATGGTAGTCCCATCAAGAAGAAGAAATTCTCACAAGAAAGAAATTTGCCCAAGAAGGAAAGATAAATCCTTTAGAATTATTGCTTTTCTTTATACTTTGAGGATTTTTAAGTGGGGGAGAGTTCATCTTTGTGAAAAGGACCCAATAATGTACTTGTTGTCTTCCTTTGTGGTATGCATATTTAATCTTCATTACACAAAGACTCAGAATGAATAAGCCACTCTGAAAAGTTGCTTAATTGGAACATAGAAATCTCTTAATGTTTTTTCCAAATCTAAAGGTACTAGTTTAAAAATTAAAATGGTACTGAGAAGGCTTGCACTTAGATGAGAAAATCCTGTTTATCCCTCCATGGTGTGAAATTAGAGTGTTGGTGGTATGAGACCTAGAGATGCCTATGAGTACAAAGTCCCCTCCACTCAGGAAAGCAGAGCTGTCAGTGCAGACATTGGCCCATCTGTCCCCAGTTGTTCTTTCTTTATGTGGGTGAATGAATTTGGCAAAGCCATTGCATTCAGTGGCTGGTACATAGTAAGTACTATGTAAGTGTTACATAAGCTAGATGTTTTTTATCTTGGAAAAACCCGATAATACAGTTTGTTTTACTGAGAGCTTCAAGGCATGTTTGTAACAACAGGGGCAAAAGTAGAACTTACTGTGGAGTAATCTACCTTCCCCCACACCACTACCCCGCCTCCCCTTAGGCAGAAAACCACATTCTTAAATGTTCTTTCATAACAGGATGTTTCTTTCTTTTTACAGCATCTGCAAACATAGAGAGTTCTGTGCCTCCACACAACTCTAGTGCTAACTCAACAGGTGAGTTTTAAAAGATTAAAAAAACAGATTTTCGATTGTCTAGGGTGCATGAAGTAATAACAGCCAGGGAAGTAGGTGTAAGCTGCGCACTGACCTGTCTTAACCCTGAGTTATTCACGTGCAAATCCCAATAACCTGCCCTAATGTTCCATAGTAGGTATCAGTAAGTGATAGTTCACTGGATTAATCTTTCTCAGTCTTGTCAAAGTGTGAATAAATTCTAAAAAAAAAAGCATATCAGAATTTCATGTTAGGAATTTCTGAAGTGCATTTTTAGATGTGAGGGTTTTGTAGTTTGCTTGTAGATATGAAATGTCAGTACGGAAGTATGCAGGTCTTCTGTTGAAACAAGTCACATGAAGCTAGTCAGCCGTGGCCTTAATATACCTCTGCTGACTCTAAGGTGACCCTATTTACATTTCACCCATTAGGCAGACTTCAATTCAAACAATTGGTGAGGCCGTTAACCTGTGGTTTTTAGTTTGGCACAAAGCCTTGGGCCTCTGAGTTCACTAGCATGGAAGATAGAGGAGCTAGGCTGATGTCATCAATATTAGTAGTAAATCATCAAGATACGTTTCTTGTAAACAATTTTTAGGTTATCTTCTCACTACCCGTATTCGTCATAGTTGACTGAGTTGGAAACTAGAAAATCCTATCCTATCACTAACCTATCACTATCACTAACTTGGTTACTTTTATTTGGGGAATATTTATTGAATCTAATCAGCTGGCGCATTCTAGGTTCTAAGAATACAAAATGGACCAAGCCCTGACTTCCAGGAGTTTTTGTTTATTTCGTGGCAAAATATACATGACATAAAATATATAATTAACCATTTTTTAAGTGTAAAGCTCAGTGGCATTAAGTACATTGACACCGGGGCCAGGCACGGTGGCTCAGGCCTGTAATCCCAGCGCTTTGGGAGGCCGAGGCGGGTGGATCACGAGGTTAAGAGATCGAGACCATCCTGGTCAACATGGTGAAACACCGTCTCTACTAAAAATACAAAAAATTAGCTGGGCATGGTGGCGCACGCCTGTAGTCCCAGCTACTCAGGAGGCTGAGGCAGGAGAATTGCCTGAACCCAGGAGGCGGAGGTTGCGGTGAGCCGAGATCGCGCCATTGCACTCCAGCCTGGGTAACGAGCGAAACTCCCATTCAAAAAAAAAAAACAGTACATTCACACCGCTATGCAACTTGCTGGAGTTTTTATTCCTGTGGAGCATTCCAGTGTTTTACTTAGTTTATGTTCTCAGTTTACTGCTATTCTTTCATTTTCTCTGCCTTTTTGACTGCTGTGGTGGCACATAGTTGGAACATACTTTTATTCTAGTTTTAGTAATTCTACAGAAAACATTTTCATTGAGAGGAAAAAAGGCTAGATGGATTACTCTGAAATGTGATAGTAGTTATCACTGGGTAGTTGTGAGAGGGTCTTAGTTAAAAAGTATTTTATTACACTATTAGGTACCTTTTCCTT